GTTTTGGCACTGTCTACCAACTTTGTGGTACAAATCGACTTGCACTTGGTCTGAGCCCTGCGCTGCGTTTGAGCCTCCATTCTGAAAGTGTACGTAGAAGGGAAGGCAGCAGGTCCGGCTTGCGAACTCCGCTGTGCGCCGACAAGCGGTATGGCGCCGAGTAGAGGCCATTTTCCTATTAGAAAAGGCTATCGAGAGCGCAAAATTTTCTTCGCTGCGCGCCCAACCATGGTGGGCACGCAGCGGGCGCCTGCGGCGCCAAATTTTTGAAATGTCTGCCAGTCGCCCAACCTGATCTCAGAATCACTCTGGCACAGACTGAAGAAGAAATCACGACTCTCACAGTGATTTGGGCTCGGCAGCTTGTTAGCCCTCAGCCGAAGCTGGGGCCGGTCCCGTAGCCGAGAGAGCCCGCGCCGTGAGTTCGACGCGGTCGGGGGGGCCTGCGGAGAGGCCAGCGAGGTGGCGATCGCTGTACTTCATGGTCGTCATCAAGTGACCGGCTGACAAGCCAGAGGTCGATACTCTGGACGACCCATAGGATGCCACGAATGCCTGAAGGAGAGGGAGGCGAGGCCAGAGGCAGGCTCAGCTGCTCTCGGGTGATCCCGCTTTGGAGGCTGAAGGACCCGATGGTCCTGTCACATTCGCGTTCCGAGTCGTGGGGGTAGAAGAATTCGAGTAGAAATCGAGTCAGCACTTCCTTGTAGTACAGCGGACCGCCAGGCTCGCCGGCAGCATCCGCAGGGAGGCATCAGTCTCTCTCAGACTGAGAAGAAGACTGGCGCGGACTGGCACACACACCGGCTCACAGAGGAGAAGAAAACCGGTCGTGATGGGCGACACTCTTCTAGCTTAAAATCCCTGTGTGGTGGCGGCGTGCCGTCCTCCCATCCCTCTTGTCTGTTTTCTTTCTGTTAGTGCCAATTCGCGCCAGTCCCGCCCGTGCCCAGTGTCGTGAGAGAGAGCTTTTCGCGGGGCAGTCGTTGCTCCTCGTCTCTTTGCTTCTTCCATACTTGCGGTTTATTGAAGACGAGACAGGCGCAACAACACAATTCTTTGGGGGCCATTGAATTCTTTGCACCGCTAACTTCTCTTCGCGCGGGTTTTGATGCAGAGAGGAGTCCAATGCGACCGTGTTCAATCTACCTTCACGATCCAGGGCGCCGCTTCAACGATGAGGCGTCAGCCGTCCCTGGTCAGTTGCGCGCGGATTCGGAGGCCAGCTACTCAAATGCGGCCTACTGGCTTCACCGAGCAATCCTTGGGCTGCCACGGGCTGGGATGCTGAGGCGCTCAGATGACCCGACTAATGCGTCCATTATTTTTGTCGCCCACTATTTTTTATTGGAGAACCCGGAGAGCCGCCCGGGCTTCTTTGGCGCGCCGCTGCTCGGTTGGGCGTCGCATCTCCAGAGGGGGGCGCAGGGGTTGTTTGGAAACGGCACCCTGCTGGGGCGTTGGCGCCGGAGCAGCTCGGACTTTCTGATCGCTCCGCCGATGTACTCCTGCAAAGCCATCAACCGGAACGCCAGATGGCTTCGTGGCGCTCGGTGGGTCATTCTGGACCCTTCCTGCGGATACCGCGACGGCTTTGACGTCATGGCACCCTACGTGCTCGCAGGAAGTGAATGGTCTCCCACGCGAGCGGCGCCGCAGCGCGAGGCGGCCCCTCGCCCGCTGCTCCTGCTGTACATCGGTCGCCTTGGCAAAGCGTACGTCAATCCGCCAGCGACCCTGCTCCGCTCCAAGCTGTGGGCGGCCCTTCGACGGCACCCCAACACCACCTTTCTCGCAACCGACGTGAGCACCGCCCTCGCACCGTACACCTCTTGGCCCCAGGAGCGCTGCTCTGCGGCCAAGTGTCACAAATCGCACTGCCAGCACTGCGTGGACCTTGCGCCCGATGACGACTTGAGCACCGGGTCTGCGAGGCGAGTGAGCTCGTCCGAGTACCGCCAGCTGATGGGGCGGGCGACGTTTTGCTTGGTCTTGAGCGGCGACATGCCAGGCCGAGATGTAGGCGAGAGTGAGGTGGAGTTGCAGCCGATCAATACCTCGACACGAGCGACCGAGTCTCACAATACGCCCAGTCTCCACCACTAACTCCGCGATCCTTTCAACCAGGCTCGCGCAAGCTCAACGAAGCCATCCTGAGCGGGTGCGTTCCCGTCCTCGTCGCGCCGTTTCCTGCGTGGCCGTTCGAGCGCCAGATCGACTATGGTAGTTTTGCGGTCGAGCTGGATTGGCGTACCGCTCTGCGCGACCCGCTCTCGATCCCGCGCGCTGTACGGGCTCTCCCACCTGCCGTGCTGGCGCGTAAGCAGGCGGCACTGCGGCGAGCGAGGGAAAATTTTTACTTCCATGCAGAGGCGCAGGCCGCAGGGCCCGTTCGCCGCATCCTCAGGCGGCGCGGTCTCACCGCGGCCCGACGTCGGTTGGTCTTCGGCGTGTCGAGGGCGGGGCGCGAGATGCGTTGCCGCCATCGCGTTGCGCGCGAAGGGAAAAAAAGAGGCTTCGAACAAGGCGAGACGATGATTTGATTGAGGCAATGAGCTGCCTGCCCTGAGCTGTGTCCTGTGAGCCGCCCGGGCCGCCAAGATCTTCCATGGCCGGGTGTGAGTGAGGCTAGGGGTGGGACGTTAAGCAGGAGAGTCAGATAGATAAATAGGAAGGTGAACCCACACATGAGCCTTGCTTCGGGGTGAGTGAGCGAGGTCGAAGAGGCCTGGGTCGTGTCTTTGGGTGAGGTTGTCCGAGTGAGGTACCTGACTGAGGTTAGGTCGTCGGCGCGAAGGGCGAGGTCTCGACCGCCGCCGCTCACGCCAGCGGATGGCCACCACAAAAGTGGCCCCTCCGATATATCGCGCCTGAACGCGGGAGGTGGCGGTCGCGGTATGTAGCTAGCCAACTCTTGGACTTGGTCAGGTCGTGATACGTGATACAATTTTCCTTCAACATCGACCGCTGTAAAGTGCCTCGTTCGCTTTCCATGATTTTGTGTGATGTCTTGCCAACACTCCTAGAAGGTAAGAGGCATCGCGAAAAAAAAAGTAAAATCCGTTTGCCGCACGACGCGAACCTCCCCCTGGACGAAGCCGTGATGGACGAAGCCGGTTCCTCGTCGGCTGGCGCTCCGTCCTCCGCGGGCGGGCAGGCGGGCGCGACGCGCCGCCCCGTCGCGTGCATCGTGCTCGGCATGGCGGGCAGCGGGAAGACGACTCTGATGCAGAGGCTCAACTCGCACCTGCATGAGGCGAAGCGGCCATACTACCTGATCAACCTGGACCCGGCGGTGCTCGATACGCCCTTCGGCGCCAACATCGACATCCGCGACACCGTCAACTACAAGGAGGTGATGAAGCAGTACAGCCTCGGGCCAAACGGAGGCATCCTCACCTCGCTCAACCTCTTCGCGACCAAGTTCCACGAGGTGCTCGGCCTGGTCGAGGCGCGCGCCGAGGAGCTCGACTTTGTCCTCCTCGACACGCCCGGCCAGATCGAGATCTTCACCTGGTCCGCCTCTGGCGCCATCATCTCTGAGTCGCTCGCCGCGTCGATGCCGACGGTGGTTGTGTACGTCGTCGACACGCCGCGCTGCTCCTCGGCCGTCACCTTCATGTCGAACATGCTCTACGCCTGCTCCATCCTCTACAAGACCAAGCTGCCCCTTCTCCTCGTCTTCAACAAGACTGACGTCACCCCACACGCGTTCGCGCAGGAGAGCCCGGCGAGAGAGAGCGAGAGAGACTGCGGCACACTGATGGCGCATGACGTCCATCGTGCCATTTCCTCATCCCACACGCGGG